CTAAATTGCTTATGATTGTGATCAAAGTATTTTTATTTTATTACTAGCTTCTGCCAGCTGCGTCGCCCGCGTTCCCAGGGGTAAAAAGCCGCCTAGGGGTCATCTATAAATTACGTCACACGAATTTCATGATTTTTATGCCCCTCCCCCGTCCTTGTCATAGCTAGTCACATTTGTGAGACTCCCCTCCTCCTAGTGTGACGTCACATTTTGCAGACAGTATAGAAATTATTGTTTTTTCCATTTCACTTAAATTACTTCAAGAAAATACTAATGTCATATCAAACAATTAAGTAAATAAAAAACATTAATACAATTACATTTCGTACTTTAACACAGATTCTAATCGTTTTTGTAATGTGACATCATAAAGTTTTGGATCCCTTCCTCCCCCTTGTCACACAATGTCACACTTCGTCCACCCCCTGCCTCCCCCTTAAGTTGTGACGTAATTTATGGATGAACCCTATGATGTTCCAAATTTCATCCCAGTCCTTTCAGCCGTTTTGATATGACTGACTAACAAACATACACATAAACACTCAAATTTACATATTTTCACATTTATAATATCGGTTAAAGTAATTTCAATCATCGGCCCTATATTTACAGCGTAAAGTCCACTGCGGGCAAGCTAACATTCGACAAACTTATAATTGTGTTTGGTACAGTAACTGTGTCTAGGGATTAAGCTGCACAATTAAGTTTGTTTTTTCGTGTATATAGTTTTTCGGGATAAAAAGTATCCAGTGTTGTGCCTAGGATATTAAAGTACCAAGTTTCATCGTAATCGGACCAGTAGTTTTTGCGTGATGCTCGAACATATAGACAGACAGACAGACAAAAATTTTTGTAATCACTTTTATCGGTTTCGGTGTCTATCTAGTAATACCTACTATTTATTTTAATATTTTCAATGTACAGAATAAACACTTCTACAATTTTATTATATGTACATATAGACAATCAATGTTGCTGTTTAATGGTTTTACTTGAAGTAGTGCGAAGATTTTTCTTGAGTAATTTCTCATTAACAATTCATTGTATTGTAGGTTTAATCACTTGAGTTATAATATAACAGCAAAACTTACATCAAAATTCTATTTGATCATCCGCAGACTTCTAAGACTATTACTTACTAGTTTTTAGTGAAACAATTTGATTTTCTATTGGTAAATGATCAGTATCTTTGTATTCTTTATCTAGTCAAGTCAATAGCAGAATTTTCCATTGCTCCCTAACTCTTCTACACAATCCCCACTTCAATCCTAAAACTGAAGGTCACAAATAAATAGCCACTTACTCGAGATCTCTCTAAGGATAAACATTAGGTGGTGACGCAATCAATCATGGCCGATATTAAGTAACAAACAATCAACCTTAAAGTGATTCCTTTCCATTTTTCGACCGACAGTTTCCAGTGAAACGGATTTGGTGACCTTTGAAAATCGCATTAGAGATCCCCCCGTCTGATGCTATATATGGTGTGAAGTTAACGAGATTTTAATGTGAAAGAGTCAAGATAATATACTTTTTAATGGGTTCCGAGTTTATTGTTTCTGTCTGTACTTTTAAACGAGCAATTCTTGAAACGGCTTCATTGATTTTCTTGAAATTTTGAATTCAGGTTGTTTAGGGGGCTATAAAACGATCTAACAAAAGCTTAGCTTAGCTTAGCTTTGAAAATGTCGTTTTGTACGAACAAAATGACATTTTAAAACACGGGTTTTTATCGAATAAAAATCCTTATTAGAATACGAAGCATTACATGTGAAGTTAAAATAGCTTAGTACAGAAAGCGGACGCCTGCTGCGCAGGACCTTTGAGTTCAAGCCTCGGTCTGAAGGTTTCTTTTAATTTTTTTCTATTTTATTTTTAATTTTTGTTCTTTATTATATGTTTAGAAAAAGTGATGTACTAAAACTGAGCAAAAGTTGGTCATCCAGGGACTGTATTTTAATATAGGGGCATTAGAGTACCTCTAGAATTTATAAACTTCAATATACAGTACTGTACGGTCTTCAACTGTGCATGCCTTTTGATGACACTGCAGTCGGTACATCATCATCATCATCAACAGCCGGAAGACGTCCACTGCTGGACAAAGGCCTCCCCCTTAGCCCTCCACGTCGAACGACAACTCGCCACCCGCATCCACTGGCTCCCCGCAACTCTGGCGATGTCGTCGGTCCACCTAGCAGGAGGTCTGCCCACGCTTCGTCTTCCGGTCCGTGGTCTCCACTCAAGGACTTTCCTGGCCCATCTGCCGTCAGTCCTTCGAGCGACGTGGCCTGCCCATTGCCACTTTAGTCTGCAGATTTTGCGAGCTATGTCGGTACCTAACTCTTGTTCTTTGGCGAATTTCCATATTTCGGATTTTGTCGCGCAAAGAAACCCCGAGCATAGCTCTCTCCATCGCACGCTGAGCGACTTTGAGCTTCTAGGTACCTATCTATTAGGTAAAAATGCGCAGTCGTACCGACCGAATTATAAATAGGTACACGGTTCCACACACCGACCAGTGTGCATTTTACAACGATAACACAAACTACTTAAGAAAAAGGAATAGTCAATATCGACGAACTAGTGTAACTATCAGTAATACAAGTTTACTTCTTCAACTACAATTTCGTGTTCTTTTCTCTTCACACTCCAACAATTAACTACAATCTGCAAGTGTACGAACCGTACAGTACTGTACATGATTTAGTTTAGCGTTATTTTGTCTCAATTCGCTGTGACTTAAATCTAAAAGCAACCAGATTAAAAAAAAAACAAATTCTTCTCAGTGCACACACATTAGTCAGAAATATGCAGAAGATTTTAGCTAGGATAGTGCGAGTAAAATCCAAAAATAACACGAATCTCTTTTGCGTTGCACTTTTTTAGCTTGGTTTAAAACACACTAAAACTGCAATCCTTTGGTTCAATTATGACAGAAAGCATAACATTGTAGAACATAGCTGTTTGGTTATAAAAAGTATTTTATATTCGGCTCGCGGCTTTCAACTGGGCACTCAACCATGTTTTTTTTTTGTTTTAAAGAGCAATGCTTTCACCCACAGTGTACCCGAAAATGCACTGCTGAATTTTATTTAATTTATAAGTGCCAGTATTCAAATTTCTGTCGTATTTTTGTTAAAAACTTTTTAAACGTATACTGAGATAACATCGCAGTATACGTTTAAAAAAAAGGATTTGTTTTTTTTTTTAGTTTGTAGCTGTTGGTACTTTCTAAGGAACCTGTTGTTTAGATACAGCTGAGTTATGGATATATAGGGTGCAAACGAAACGCTCGTTTTTGTTATTTTTAACATCGGTCTTGAGCAGTTGATTAAAACTATTATTACATAAGGAAAGATTAAAAAAATAAAACGTCAGCGTTTTTCGGGAGCGTTTCTTTTACACCCTGTATTAAGTAATGCTTTCTGAAGCTTCATTCAGTTATCGTCTCTATCTACACCTACTTAATGCACATTTTGTCGTATAAAAGGGTCAACAGAGGCGATTTTCAGTCTATTACATTATATCTAATTGAGTTTTCAATAGCCATGTACTAGTAAATATCTTGTATCAATAAATAGATACATATTTGGAATGATTTCTAGATATTAGTTGTTATATTTTCGGCTTACTCATGTAACTGTTTGACGTGGAACTCGACTAGCTTTAAGCCATTCTACAGACTGAAAATATAATATTTAATTTACTATGTCTCACTACAGTTACCTTTACTAATATTATAAATAAGTGAGTTTGTTTGTTTGTTCCACTTTTACGCCGTAACTACTAAACCGATTGCTTTGAATTTTAGCAGACGTAAAGTTAGAAGGCCGGATTAAATAATAGGGTACTTTTTATCCCGGAAAAATTTGATATTCCCGAGGGAAAATAAACGTATTGGTATAGATGGCGCTGTGTGTATTGGTATATGTCACATAGGCTGCCTTTTATCCTTTTGTGACGCGAGCGAAGCCGCGGGTAGAAGCTAGTAATATATACTTCTAGAAATTGCTACTATTCATGCTCACAACAAGTATTCACAAATAAATACTAGACCCTAAGAAAAAATAACTAACAAACAAATCAGAACTTAAACACTTAGGTCGCATTTCTATTTCTAGAATTCGACTTAAGAACGAAAGTTCCTCCAGTTGTCTTGTAAGGAGGGTTGATTAAGGATTCTGTTAGCTTCCGCGATCCTAAGAGCACGTAAGCCTTGGGTTCCGGTCGTCAGCAGAACGTCTTTGATCATCCAAGTATATCTGTCTTAGCAGCGATTACAAAAAGAGCAATGGATTTCACGGAATTTTTTGATTACTCCGCTTTCAACGTTTATTATTCGGAATATTTTTGTATATAAAATACATATATTTTTTGGTTTGTATACAGAATTTTATGGAGATGTTTATGGTTTAGATTTAGAATCATTATTTTGAATATAAATGAATCACACACAGAACCGACGTGAAACAACGTTTGTGTTTTGTTTCGTCGTGTGAGTGAGGTTACCGGAGGACCAATTACCCCTGCCCCTCTTTCCCAATCTCCCCAATCCCTGAATCCACAACAATCCTCAAATTCATAATACCCAAAACGCCGGTAACGCACTTGTAACACGTCTGCTGTTCCAGGTGTTCATTGGGTGACGCCGATTGCTTAAGATCAGGTGATCCGTCTGCTCGTTTACCGGCTTGTCCCATAGAAAAGTCTTAATTTCTTTATACCTAAAATAAGTCAGAAATAAAAATATTGGTTGTTAGTTCAAGCGTAGTAAAAAGTCTAACATTTGTCATATTAATAAGAAATCAGGCTAAACTATACCATAAAACATGTTGTAATAAGTAACGCCTCTGTATTAAAAAAAAGAGAACATTATTATTTTTCGAACGTGTTTAAAATAGCACACTGTACCACTGGCACAAAATACTTTTTTCTATTGAAAAAGTAAATAAAACATATTTAATTACTGACTAAACATTGTCTATCCTATTCTCCAGGTCAGCTCGTGTGGGCAAGACGTCGCTGGTGTCCAGATTTCTGGGCACGAAGTTCGAAGACAGTTACACCCCAACTATTGAAGACTTTCACCGAAAGCTGTACCGCATCAGAGGCGAGGTGTATCAACTGGACCTTCTGGATACATCTGGAAACCATCCATTTCCAGCTATGAGGAGACTGTCTTTTCTTACTGGTGAGTATATTTGTCTCATGTTGGCTAATTTTAATATCTTTTTTCATTGCTAGATTATAAGGTTGACAATCGTTTGAACGAAGATCATTTGAGGCTTCTACTCGGTAAATAGTGTGCTAAATCATCTCTATTCCATCGTTACTAACAAAAGCTTCTAGGTAGACAGATGACCTAATAAAGGTCGTATGAAGCTGCTGGACGCCAAAAGCTTCTGGATTTAGGCTACTTTCTACCAACTGATCTGACCTCTTGGTTATTGGGGACGCCTATGTTTAGCAGAAGGTAGACACATTGTGACTGATACGATGAATAGCAAAAACTGCAAACTGCGAACATAATCCTTTGTCAAACCGATGTACAGGCAATATTTCATACGTTTAAAATAAAAAACAGAACACTAAAAACAAATAGTGTCCACGATACAATACAAAACAAAATGCTCTAATACCATTTGATAGATGGCGTTGTTTCATTCATTATTCTATGGAGGCTGTCCACAGGGATCCATTGAGATTACTATACGAATGTACACAAACCTCTGCTATGTTTGGTAGTGTTGGGACGTACGCTGCGGTTGCTGTAATCGATTGGAAATGTAATTTCTGGTGCATCGATTGGTTTTAGGTGATGTTTAGTGTGTGTTTGGTACTGAATGTGTTGAAGGTTCTGAACTGTAGCTAAACTGAAGTACTTAACTATTACTCTAAAGTAATTTTGATCTTGGACTTTTTTTAATAACATTATTTTATTTGAAGAGATACGATAGTTTTTCTTCTATAAATCCGTAACTGTCATTATGCAAAATCTATTATATATAAAAGAAAGTCGTGTTAGTTACACTACTTATAACTCAAGAACGGCAGAATAGATTTGGCTGAAAATTGGTAGAGAGGTAGCTTAGAGCCAGGAGACCGACATAAGATACTTTTTAACCAAAAATTTTTTTTTTTTACTTTTTTCCGAAAATCACGAACGGGGACGGGAAAAAATGGGATTACGCGTACGAAGTCGCGGGCAGAAGCTAGTATTTTTATAATTCAAATTCAAATTCTTTTATTGCATATCATGTGTACAATTGGTGTTACATGAGGTACAGTATCAACATGAAACCCGGCTAGGGCACGGCAACATATAAAGCAAAATATAATCTAATTAAACTACTATCAATACTTATTATATTATAACATAAGAAATGTTGTTTTCATTAAACATTAAAATATTATCTTTATTTTATTATAATAATGTATTTACATAAATTTCTTAATAATGTATAGGTATTATTGTATGTAGTATATGTATTATTATATTTAATATGATTTTTTACTGAGTCGGTATGCATTGAGTGTTAAGATTTGCTGGTTTGGTCATCAAAAAACTCATTAAGGGTGTAGTAACATTTTTCAATGAGGAACCGTTTTAATTTATTTATAAACACGTTATATTTTTCTGCTTCTTTTATGTGTTTCGGTACAGCGTTATATATTTTTATTGACATAACTAAGGTGCCAGACGAATGCATGTGAAGTCGGGAGCTTGGTAGGTTTAGTCTGGTTTTGTGTCTTAAGTTATATTCTGTCTTATTGTCACGTGTATTGTAATATTCTGGGCGGTTTCTGACAAATTTACATATTTCCAAGATGTAGGTGCATATCATGGTAAGTATTTTGTGGTTTCTAAAATGTGGTCTACAGCTGTCGGTTTGTTCTATATTTGTCATTATTCTAATTAACTTTTTTTGTATGGTAAATATGGTCTGTGAGTCTGTACTATTGCCCCATAGTATTATGCCATAGCTTATCCACGCTTGGGCATAAGCATAATATGTGGCAAGTGCGGTTTTAAAGTTGGTGGATTTTTTTATTTCATATATGGCGTAGGAAAATTTCGATAACTTTGATTTAATTTTTTGTATATGTGATTTCCAGTTGATATGTGAGTCTATTGATAAGCCGAGTAAGGTAAATTGATTTACTTGTTCTATTTGGATGCTATTGAATTTAAAGTCAATTTTAAGGGGGGATTTTTGTTGGGGGTGAAAAGTCATAAGTTTGGTTTTTGAGAAGTTGATTTCTAAATTATGGTGTTCCATCCAGTTTACTGCTGCAGAAAGGAGAGTGTTAAGTTTATTATCTAAGTTCATATTGTTTTGGCATGACGTGATAAGTGATATATCGTCAGCAAACAGGACGCATGGTTCTTTTATGGTCTTAGGGAGGTCATTGATGTAGATGAGGAACAAAAGGCACCCTATTACACTTCCTTGAGGAATTGATGCATTTACAGGTTTGCATTCAGATCTTATCTTAGATATTTCTTTGGTTTGATTATCAAAATATTCTATCTCCACAAGTTGTTCTCGGTCTCTAAGATATGAAACAAACCAATCATGAGCTTTTCCCCTTATTCCTATTCCTTTTAATTTATCCATCCAGCCATATTTTAATTAATCCAGCATCGTCTGGAACCTAATTTACAATATGAAATTGTTACTTATAAAGACTATCGGCATCGTGGCAGTCGGCTTGACGATCACTCATTTGACCAGTCAGTCATACATTTATGCAAACGTAAAAAATATTTAAATTGGTACAACATAAGCGGGCACAAAGCATTGGTTTTTTCCTCCTCTCTCACATCCCTAGTTCCCAGTAATAGTCACTTTGTGAACATACACAGTTTGAATGGATATCCGCACAACTTTGTGCTTGTAGTTATGAATGCAACAATGAACGCCCACGAGGGAAACTTTGCGACTTTTGTTTGACTAATTAGTGATAGGCATAGGTATGTCGTGGTGGCCCGGAGGTTTCAGACGCTTCTCGTACATGAAGCTACGTGTTCGAAACCTACCAACAGCAAGTACCAATGTGACTTTTTCCGAGTCATATGTACTTTTTAAGATTATCTAGACACCACTGACAAATGGTGAAGGAAAAATATCGCGAGAAAACCTGGGCTTATAATTTCTAATTATAAGTCTGTAATCGCCAAACGGTATTGAGCAAGCGTGGTGATTAATGCTCAAACCTTCTACTTGTGAAAAGAGGCTTTGCGCAGCAGTGAGCATTTATAGGCTGTAAAAACGTAATTTTGTAACCTATTTGCAGAAATACATAATCATTTATCATTTATCAATACTCTAATGAGTTTATGAGTCTTGGGCCAGAACTGAACTGATTGAGGTGTTCTACTTTTCATGTTTATTGAAATAAATTAGTCCTACTTCGAGTTGAAAGTATTCTCCATCATTTAACAATCAGAATTTAGGCAAAGGCTGAGAATATTGAAAAAAATATGTTAAACTTTGGTAATGAATTACAAATACCTGGGTATGTGACTTATGTCGGAATACTGAAACGCTACACAATTTTAAGTCGCGCTTAAGTATAGTTCTGTCTCCACTAATTCTTTGTAAAATGACAGAGACGGCACGATATTTGAGCACGACTTAAAATTGAGTAACGTTTCAGTATTCCGGCAGTACCTAGATAATTGCAAAAAGAGAAAAGAGCGTACTCCTTTTTAAAAGGCCTCCAACGTACCTGTGAACTTTTTGGTGTTGTGGGTGTCCATGGGCGGCGCTAATCGCTTACCATAAGGTGATCCGTCTCCTCGTTTACCTGCTATTCCATAAAAAAACATTCATATCATAACGCAAGCCTTAATTAAAACAGTTTTAATACAGAAGAAACATAATTAAGCAACATACATGCGAATATAAAGTTCTTTCCATTTCTCATTCAAAAGCGAAATAATTTACCGCCCGGTCCTGACATGTTCACATATCATGGAATTAAATACTTTTAAAGGTAAACCGGGGCAATAAATACAGAAGTTCAAATCGTTACATGTCTCGAGGATTTATACAATCAGAGAAAATATTATGTTACTTAGAAATTGTAAAGAAATGGCTTAGTGGTCACGTTTATGACATTTAAACAATTATTATTTTTTTTCGCTTTATGAGAGAGAGGTTAAATATACAACAATGGGAGGTTAATTATACAATAATTTGGTCCAAGTAAATAACTAAACAGATTTACTTTAATATTTTGTCTTTTGTTTAAAATAAATGCTTTGATTTTCACCTCCTATTCAATTTGGAATCTCTTGTTAATAAGTAGCTCTTGTTAAAATTAAAACCAACTACAAACCCTATGGTTCAAAATTTAAACAATTAAAACAAGTAACAACTAAACGCTGTTCAAAAATAAAATTCCATTAAAAAGTATCGCTGCACTTTTAGTCCTGGCCTTATATAAATTTAAATTGAACTTTTGTTCCTAATTTAAACGTGTGACGTGGCGGGAAAAACAAAAGTTGGCACGTGCGAGCTACCAATGTGTTGTTCGTTATTTATCAAAAACTTTTATAACTGGCGTTTGGAGGATGTAAAATAAAACGCAGTCTACTTTTTCCTGTGTAATTTTGTTCACTACTACAGTTTCCGCGAAGGTGTAATAAGGAAATTCGATCGATATTGCTTCTGAAATAGAGCTGCAACTTAAATAACTTTGAATCGTTCTTTAGTGTTTTGTTAACAAAGTGTATTCTGCACAGTTCGGTAGTCAACGAACGAACTATTGTTTAACTCATTTTTGCTACAAATATATTTTTTTCTACAAAAACATTTTTCAACAGAACATCTCTTAAACTCTCAGAATCTAGATCTAGCAAAGCGCACAATAAAAAGGTGTAAAAATAAACTATTAAGTACTGGTCATTCTTCCTTATGTTGTGAAGGACGCATTCCGCCATTCCCTCTCACAATAAAGCCGTGGAGTCAAGTGCAGATAAACGAGAACCGCTTTTGTTCACCTCACCTTTAACTCTTAAGGGGGTCACAGACGAACATTAGAAAACGCAGCGAGAATTGTACGCGACGCTTTGTTATAAGGTACAATCAGATGTCACATGTTAAACCGCATGTGTCAGGTTAGGGAAAACTATTTTAGTAGAAATAGTTATGAAATGTAATAACTATTTGAGGACTTTCAGAG